GCTGTAGTGTCTGGCTCAGATCTTCATTCAGGATTGAGACACTCTTTATCACATTCTCTGGGAGTACTGGGAGTTGATGTAACAACTATAGCCTTCTCAGAGAAATTGCCCTCAGACAAGGAGCATGAAACAATAGTATACTCTCTTTTTTTAATCTAGAACATATCTGACCGGCCAGATTCAGAGCTACCATTGAGGCTCTGCTAAAGCCTCTTTTGTAACTGTAGCACAGTTCATCTTCTCTCTTTCCCAACTCTCCTTCTTTCGCTTCTTTGTGGGTGTCCTCCTCCTGCCCCACTAGGAGTATTTTTCAATAAAAAAATTGCATGCAAATTTTTAGCTTGGAGTTTGTTTTTTTGAAAATAAACCTACTACATCAGGCTTAAACTATAAATGGTTTTGATTTATTAGTTTAAAACAACTTAAAAATACTACTCTATTTCTAGTCGTATTTTACACAGAGAACTTCACAGTATATAAGGGGAAGATACTATGATTTTGTTACTTAATTTATTTAACATTGACCTTTGCAAGTGTGTGTGTGCATGTGTGTGTGTGTGTGTGTGTGTGTGTGTGTGTGTGTCATTAAATTAGCTTCACATGCTTAGTAACTCAGCTAAGAAATTACAGGGAAATTGCAGTAGGCGTTTGTATGAATTCCAGAGGATTATATATTTTGCCTCAGAAGATGACTAAAGGACACTGAAGATAATTGCAAAGCACCAAATGGCCATAAATCAGACATAAAAATAACATGGTATAAAAAATTACTTTATTTACAGTGGGTCACCCAGATGTTAAAGAAAAGCTGTTTTATGTGCCATAGCATCAACTACATTATTCACTTTTCTATCTTTAAGATATTTGACATTTTACTTTAAAAAAGCCAAATTCTGATTATGCTCCATTCTGTTATCACTTAATTCATTCATCCAATACTCATTACATGATGAATATTCTTTGTGATTTGAGGCATGAAGCCTCATGTTAATCTCCAAAATGTAAATCTTCCTTTAAAATACATGAGAACTTGTAACTCAAAGTGTAGTCTGTACATCTGCATTAACAGCAGCCCGTAGTAGCTTGCAGACATGCAAAATTCCCACTTTAGACCTCTGAAAACAAAATCTGCATTTTAGCAAGACTTCCCCAAAAGATTATATACACATTAAAGTTTGAGAAGTACTGCATTAGAGAAGACTTAATTATAGAGCTTTGTCAGAACAAAGTTTTTTAATTTCACTTGAAAAACAAATTTCACTTGAATGAAATCAGATTCTTCAGTGAAAATCCAGACTGATCACCAGCTAGGACATCTGCATCACTACTTATTCTTGAAGGATTAGGGGAAATATTACTTCAACTGGGAGGTGCGCACTTTTCCCTAAACAAAAATAAGGCCTCTTTCTTCTTTCTGCACTGAATATTTCTAATGAATCCATATTTTCCTTATGACAGAAAATAACACAAATAAAAGTGGCTGTCTGTCTTTCCTGTATAATGGTCAGGTTTTGAATCGTGGTCCCGTGGATTATCTGATAAGTTCCCCATTTTATTTCCATCTGCATGTCTGCAGTAATTGCCATGGTGATACTAATTTGTTCCTTTTCCTCTGGCCATAGAGGATTGGTTGAATGGCAAACATCTTACTCAGATAGAGGCATAAGTTCTTTCCTCTTGGAATTTTATCTCTTGGAAATTATGTGGGTACCTGGTCTAACACATATAAGCTGGGGAGCTGTCTGTATGTGGTAGCCGTATTCTGCTACAAGGTCTAAGAAACAGAAGTTAGTTTGCAATAGAAGATTAAGAATACAACAAATACTCACAAGAAGGAGAAGAAATGAGGAAAATTGAAAAGAATTTGAGTTTTCCTTGGTTTCATTCTAAGGTTGCATCATTCTCCAGAAACCTGTAAAAAATCCCATTTTATTAACACATTTTTCTTTTTCTCTTGAGTAGAAATTGGGTTTCTACCACTTGCAACCAAAATATTATTCATATACCTTAGAACACTGTCAGCTTTGTGAAAATAAAATCTCTTTTATATGATTTGGGTTGCAATGACCCTTCTCCTTCTGTCAGACAGTATTGGGCACATCACCCAAGGCTTGGATAGAGTATTCATTTTATACTAGACATAGCAGTACATTCAAGAGAAAAGCACCACTGCCATTTCAATAGATATCAGAAAGGTATTTTTAAAATTTACATCTTGATGTAATTTTTACATCAATAAATGTTCCTGATTCAAATGTTTGACATATAAGAAATATATGAAATAATACCTGATCTAGTGATTCTATCTAAAACCTGCAGTAGGCAAAATAAATTGTTATGAAGCATTAGAAATATTTCCAACAAATTCAAGGCCATTTGAGAAAGTACCACAAAATAGAAGGACATAAGATTCAATATATAAAAACCTCAAATTCTCCTATAAAAATCAATAAATAATTATAAAAATGCAAAAAAACAAAAATCCCTTTAAAATAGCAACAAAAATCAATAAAGTATGCATGAACTAAAACAAAAATGGACAAGGCATATGTTGAGAAAACTATAAAAGATACAATAAAGAAATAGATCTAGCCTATATTCATAAATAATAACCAAGGTACATATTTAGTTTTCAAATTAACCTATATATTTACTACAATTTTAATCAAAGTTGTTCTGAAGATCTTTTATGGGACTTACCAAGTTGATTCTATAATTAGTATGTCAGCTTAGCAAGACCAACTTTGGAAATGAAGAAAGATAGGGACTTACTCTATCAAATGCCAAATATTTTATAAATGTAGGTAATTTTAAAAGTCAGGTTTGAATATTTCAAATACTAAAACCAGATCTCTGTCTCTTATCTTTCAAAATAATAACTTTCACATTTACTGAACATTAAATAAAAACATTGGCAGAGTACAATAAAAAATATTTATGATATTAAGTCAGAGAAGGCCATCTTATGTTCTAAGAATGAAGCAAGATCTCTGAGATGTAATATTTTAATTGAAAAAGTAAACTTCTGTATGGTAAATAACATAATCAGCAAGTTTAACAACACATAATCCCTTAAAATAATTACCACAAGCTCTCCTGGACAATATCCTGAAGAGTGTTTCTTGGATTCATTCTCCCTATCACATTTTGATCTTTGACAAACCTGACAAAAACAAGCAATGGGGAGAGGATTCCCTGTTTAATAAATGGTGTTGGGAAAACTGGCTAACCTTGTGCAGAAAGCTGAAACTCGCATTCCTTATACCTTGTACAAAAATTAACTCAAGATGGATTAAATATTTAAACATAAGACCTAACACCATAAAAACCCTAGAAGACATAGGCAATACTATTCAGGACATAGGCATAAGCAAGGACGTCATGACTAAAACACCAAAAGCAATGGCAACAAAAGCCAAAATAGACAAATGGGATCTAATTAAAATTAAAAACTTCTGCACAGCAAAAGAAACAATGGTTAGAATGAACCAGCAATCAATAGAATGGTAAAATTTTTTGCAATCTACCCATCTGACAAAGGGCTAATATCCAGAATCTACAAAGAACTAAAAGAAATTTACAAGAAAAAAGCAAATAACTCCATCAAAAGGAGTTATTTTGGGCAAAGGATATGAACAGGCACTTTTCAAAAGAAGACATGTGGCCAACCAACATATGAATAAATACTAATCATCACTGGTCATTAGAGAATGCAAATCAAAACCACATTGAGATACCATCTTACGCCAGTTAGAATGGCGATCATTAAAAAAATCTCGAGACAAGATGCTGAGAGGATGTGGAAAATAGGAACACTTTTACACTGTTGGTGGGAGTGTATATTAGTGCAACCATTGTGGAAGACAGTGTGGCAATTCCTCAAGGATCTAGAACTAGAAATACCATTTGACCCAGCAATCCCATTACTGGGTATATACCCGAAGGATAATAAATTGTTCTGTTATAAAAACACATGCACATGTATGTTCATTGCAGCACTGTTTGCAATAGCAAAGACTTGGAACCACCCCAGTTGCCCATCAGTGACAGACTGGATAAAGAAAATGTGGCACATATACACAATGGAATACTATTCAGTCACAAAAAAGAATGAGTTCCTGTCCTTTTCAGGGACATGGATGAATCTGGAAACCATCATTCTCAGTAAACCGACACAGGAACAGAAAACCAAACACTGCATATTTTCACTTATAGGCAGGTGACGGACAATGAGAACACATGGACATAGGGAGGGGAACATCACACACTGGGGTCTGTTGGGGGTTGGGGGGCTAGGGGAGAGAGAGCAGGGGGTGGAAGGTTGGGGAGGGATAATATTAGGAGAAATACCTAATGTAGGTGAAGGTGGGATGGAGGCAACAAACCACCATGGCGTGTGTATACCTATGTAACAATCCTGCACGATCTGCACATGTACCTCAGAATTTTAATAAAAAAATAATAATTACCACAAGACCCACAAAAAGAAAAAATTCCAAAAAGCTCCACACCCAAAACATGAGGTACAAACTGGAAATGCAAGTTTTATTAATCTTCCTAATATAGACAAACAAAAACAATAATCAAACACAAATTTTATAATAACTAGCATATGTAAAGATATGGTGAAATTAATACCTTCTATGTACTCCTATGGGTGTGCAAAAGCCATTTTGGAGGAAAATGAGGCAGAATATTATTACGTTTTGTTTCCAAAAGCCCATTGGAAAAATAAAAACAGACATTGGGTTTCTATTAATAGGGAAAGTGGGCAACTACTAAAGGTAGTTCACTCAAGCCAATTATGACAAACTAATTCACCAAATAGCCAAATTATAAGTTATTTCATAGGAAACTCAATTTGCCAAATTTAAATTAAAAAATATAATTTCTAAAGTTTACAATAAATTACATGAAAAATTTTAAACATTTAGTTTTGGATAGTTGATACGTTTTTATATACTTGACAGAATTATAAGGAATGTCCATTTGTGTTTTAGCAACTTCAAGCTTCAGTGGAAAGAATCAGAACACAGAGAAAACTTGCCACTAGGACAAAAACGAAGGAAAGAATCAGCCCAGGATGGTGATACCAGGGTTACAGGTCAGTGAGGGGCACAAAGAAGTGAAGCCAGAAGGGCATATAATTAGAACCTAATCACCACCTACTGAAAAGTTAAATGCTTTTCATTTCTAAATGAATCAACTTAAATGTTGCAGGAATCTGCAAAAGCTGACAAAACTACATTATGTCCTCAAACTTTTGTAAGTACTATAAGTGATTTTTAAATTACTAAATTTTATTTCATTGCAAATTGACAAATTATAACTGCATAAAGAATTATTGTATGATCCAGCAATTCTGTTGGGTGTACATTCAAAGGACATGAAATCATTAGGTAAAGAGATATCTGCATCCTCATGTTCATTGCAGCCTTGTTCAAAATACCCAAGTGATTGAATCAGTCTGTATCTGTCAACAGATGAATGGAGAAAGAAAACATGCTATCTATACACAATGGAATACTATTTAGCCTTAAAAAAGAAGGAAATTATGTCATTGTGACAACATAAATAGTTAAAATTAAAAAGTAAACATTGCAAAATGTTTATTTGACATATTGAGTATTTGGCAAAATGACTTTTGGTGAATTGGTTTTGATAAAATGACTAAACAGATTTGGCATAATCAATGAAATGATGCATTATAGTTTAAAATAATGAGGTAGATCACACAATGTGATATGACACATTACTCATTAAGTAAAAACCACAGAAAACAAAATGATACATTTCTTTAGGTACAAAGAGTTAGAATATACTTTCAAATAATGATAGGCTGTCTTTGGGAGAGGAGAGACTTTTGCCCCAAATCTTATAAGGGAAATTTTACATATTATTCAGATGATTAAGATTAAATTTTCCATTTATATGTAGCAGGAAATTTAATTTATATCGTCCCCTAATTTTGGGATTTTGCTAGAGGTCCCATGCTGAGGACCATGACTGCTGAGGCCGAAAACATTCTAGATCAAGGTGATAGACCATAGCACTTACTCAGTGGTAACATAACAGAACTTGTGGCCTTTGGCTCATAATCAGCTGCAAGCTATGCATAGTTGAAAAAAATCAAGGAAGCATTCAGGAGGGCAAGGTCAATAAGCAGACATTGACTTTTTGGACCAAAACTGGGCCAAAAGATTGTTAAACATGCTCCCACTTCTTCTCTGGGAAATTGGCAAGTGCTTCCCCTGCATATAAATTAAGCCAGGTAGGGGTGATGTGCCCTGAAAACTTCTGCTGCCTCAGGAGTATGATGGTCCACAGAATTCGAGATTGTGAACAATGTAGTTTGTTCTTGCAGAAGTACCAGTTACTACTGTGCTTGATCGAAGAATCAATAAAAGTTTTTGAGGCATGCTACTGTGATCAGCAGGATAATGCCCTCCTCCCTGAAAAATGTCTGTGTCCTAATCCCCAGACCTTAAATGACAAAGGAAATACAAAGATATGATTAAGTTAAGATTTTGAATGGTTAGATTGTCTTGGAGTAATCACAAGGGTCTTTATAAGACAGAGGCAGGAGTGTCAGGATGAGTGAAGGAAATATGACAATAGAAAAATCAAGGAAATTTTCCATCCAAAATTTTAGATGGAAAAAGTGTGTGTGTGTGTTTGTGTGTGTGTGTGCACAAAGTCATTTTATTCTCTTCCTCTCACCCTCTGTTGGACTTCTTTATAATGTGCCAGATGTCCACAGATTATTCAGTTATCTTAATGATTAAATTATATAGTGTAGACTTCCAGAGAATAAGACAATTGGAGTAAATCATTGATTCTATGATGTCAACAGTAATTGCAAGAGAAGGAGACAGTAGAGGTTCACAGTGGCTGCATATATGAAGAAAACTTCCAGGGACAGGGGAATAGTATATGCAAAGACATGAAGGGGTAATGATACAGCTGATAATGTGATGTGTGCTTATTGTAAGGTGAAGAAAGTAGCTGGGCTGGCTCCTTAATGCTACCCTCCACATCGGAGGATAAATGTTCTCTTCCAGATTAGTCATTGAGTTATCATGGAGAGAACAAATACTTTTTATCCATTTTTGCATTCACATTCACGTTTATAGACTTCACACTGGTTTGTTTGCTTTCACAAAAGATAAATTTCTCATGTTTGAAAAATTCTAAGTTACTGGCTTGGGACACTCAAATATCCTCATAATGTTAATTGTTCCAGAAATCACTATTTGTCGTCATTGCCTGATTTCTGTTTCTTGGCTGTTACAGAGAGGCTGAAATTTCAACCATCATTCTGTAAGAACTGCTTAGCAATGCTTGGGTTGAATTGGTTACATAGGAAGCTTAGCTCAATGCCTGTGTGCTGGTGTGAAATGTGTTGCTCCTGTATTATGTCTGGTATCTGCCAGCTAAAAGAACAGAAGACCTTCCGGGAACTAGAGTTTCTGAGAGCAAGGTGAGAGGATTATGCATGAAGACACTGGGCTGTCATCCATGCTGCTGGTGGGTGAGAATTCTCTCTACATTATTATAAAATATAGCAATGGTAAATATAGAACAAGTTGTCATCTTACAAAATAAGTTTTTGTTACAAATTTTCCCCTAAGGTGTTTACTATTTGAAGACCTTGCATGACTTGCCTCTCTTATAGCTGCTTTGGGCCCTAGACTCCACATTTCATCTTCAGTGTCATGATCTCTGCCACTTAGTGGCTTTTCATTTTCACAGTTTAGTGACATGTCTGTCAAAAGTAATGGACTAAATTGCTCAGCAGTTCATTTATATTAATTTTGAGAAATGCCTTTCAGTTTTTTATTATGTTAATAAGACTTTTACTTTGAGGGTAGAATATACTAGCAAATGAAAAAGATGTTACAATATTTAGCCAAAAAGAAACCACATATTTTGCAAAGGAACAGAAAGGATTTTGAAAGAGCCCCAGTGTCTAAAAATCTTTTTAACTGAAATTCTCTTAAATGTGGCTCATAGTTTAATGGGCATTATATGGCAACATTGCTCCCAGATAATGGCCATTCCTAAATATCATGACATTAAAGCATAGAATAAAGAATGTTCTATGACAACTTTGCAATGTATTGCATACACAGATTGAGGTAATGATAGCTAGGTGTTTTGTGCTAATGGACTCATTATATTGATGCCTGGTAAGGTAAGACACGGATACCAGCTCTCCCTTTTCTAAGCTTTATAAATACGAAAAGAGTAAGTTGGTGAGAACCTTATTTACTTCCTATGTTAATATTTTCATTCCAGTATACTCAACTGTGTCATAAAAAGTCAACATCAGAATGGATGTGTTTTTGTGATTTTAAATGTGTGAGAGACTCAGAGTTCAAATTCTGCCTTGCCTTATAAACTTTCAGACTCTCATTTTCTCACTGACACAAATGAAGATTACAGTACCCATCTTTCTGTTCCTATCTTTCTGCATTATTGCAAGTCATCTACATAACTTTGAAATAACATCATCAAGGTAGCAGAGTAGGAAATAGCAGTCTCCAGGTTCCCAACCCCCACAAAAAAATTAAAACAACAATAAATGGAGAATATTCACACAGAAAGAAATATTGGTGAGGCTGGCATACTTGAAATGCCTGTAAATGTCTAAGAACAAAGAAGAAAGGCAGAAGCTATTGGTAGCAGCCATGTGGCAGGAACCACAGTGGTTTCTAGTGGCCAGCTCTGTTGAGAACACTGGTTTCTTTTGTAACTGAGGTAACAAACATCCTTTTCCACTAGGGAACTCTAGAGAGACAGACTTGGGTACACAACACTAACCCCACAAAAAGCAGCCATTGTTGAGGTGCTTTGGGAAAAGAAATTCCACCTCTCCAAATATTCTGCATTCCCTAAATCCAAAGCTGTGGCGATGCACGTAATGCTCATACTCCAGCCTTGGGCTCTGTTTCACTGTAACTGCTTACATCTCAGAAGCTGGAGCACTGCCATAGAAAACTGGTTTGCACTTCAAGCTCCAGGGCCAAATTCTCTTTGAGCATGCCTACATTCTGGACACCAGCTCAGTTGCCATAGAGAGCTTGGGCTGAAGCCAGGCTCAGAGGCCAAGCCCAGGGCCACTGTAACTTTGCACACAGCCATGTTTCTATAATAGGCTCCTAGAATACTTCACAAGCATTTGTATGTTACATACTGCTAACAATGCAGCAGAAGGGTGCTAGTACTCCAGACACAAGTAACATTACTGTTTGAGATCCCAGAGCTATCATCTCTCCATGTGTGCCTATGCTTTAGGCTTCAGCTCAGTGACATCGGTGTCACTACTATTGTGAACAAGCTCAGAAGCTGGACCTACTGCTAAGATGGACCCCCTCAGAATCAAATTTCCCTTTGGAAGAAAAAGAGACCATAGTTGCCATTACTAGAGACCTTAGCAGTAGTCATCACCACTGTGGATATCTACAGCATTAGCTACTGAGGATCCCTATAATTTTTGTCAATGTTGACGTCAACTGACAGAGCTGTGCTACCAAGCTATATCTGCACTGGTGCCAGAACTTCTATACCGCACCCAGCAAGCACTCTCATACTCCTCCACAGAAGAAGGTCTTTTCACACTAAAACTAGTCAGTAAAGTTTGGAAAAGGTAACTGCTCTACCAAATGTATAGACATCTATATAAGGCAAGAAGAAACATGAAAAACTAAGGAGACACATTATTACCAAAATAAAATAATTACTCAAAATCCAAATATATGAAGATACATGAACTACCTGAAAAGAATGCAAAATAATTATTTTAAGCACTATCAGTAAAGCATAGAGAAACAATTCAGTGATATTAGGAATGCAATACCTGAAGAAAATGAAAAATTTAAGAGAGAGATTAAGATTATTTTTAAAAGACCACGACTTTAGGAGCTGAAAAATAAAATGAATAAAATGAAAGCTGCACATCATCCAAGATGGCTGATCACTAACAGCTCAGGATTGTAGATCCCAGTGAAAGCTCAGAGAATGAGAGGATGCTACACTTTCAGATGAATTTTCGTCACTCACGGACCAGCAGATTTCTAGTGGAGGAGTCCCATGGGTCGCCAGTGTGACTCTTGTGGCTGGCGCAGTGGTTTTGCCAGCGCCTTGGCGCGGCAGCTCTTCATGCAGAGTAAACGGGACTGGTTCCCTTACTGACCGGTGTTTGGAGCTCCGGGAAGGCAGAGCCGCTTGTTGCGGACTCAAGAAGGAAGCCAGACCAGAGATTCCCAGGCAGAAGAGCACCGTCAGTCTTATTGCTGCTATTTTGGCTGGCGCAGTGGGTTGCTTGAATCCCAGCACTGGGAATCAATAAATTGGACGTCGACTCAGAAACCTAATTAGAAAGGCGGTAATTCTAAAGATGACAGATGGATAAATTTATAATAAAGGGAAAAAACCAGCCTAAGAAGGCCAAGCATACCCAAAATCAGAACCCCTCTCCCTCTACAGGGGATTGCAGTTCCTCATCAGCAACGGAACAAGCCCTGATGGAAAAGGACTGTGTTCCATTATCTGAAGTAGGCTTCAGAAGGTGGATGATAAGAAACGTCTGGGAATTAAAAGAACTTGTTCTAACCCAATGTGAAGAAACTAAGAACTTTGAAAAAAGGTTTGACGAAATGCTGAAAAGAATAGACAATATAGAGAGGAATGTAAATTAACTAATGGAGTTGAAAAATACAACGCGAAAACTTAGTGAAATATGCACAAGTTTAAATAGCAGAATGGATAAAGCAGAAGAAAGGATATCAGAGGTGGAAGACCAACTTAATGAAATAAAATGACAAGACAAGAATAGAGAAAAAAGGATGAAAAGGAATGAGCAAAGTCTCCAAGAAATATGGGACTATGTGAAAAGACCCAATCTACGTTTGACTGGTGTACCTGAATGTGATGGAGAGAATGAATCCAAGCTGGAAAATACTTTTCAGGATATTATCCAGGAAAATTTTCCCAATCTAGCAAAGCAGGACACTATTCAACCCCAGGTGATACAGAGAACACCACAAAGATATTCCTCAAGAAGAGCAACGCCAAGGCACATAATCATTAGATTCCCCAGGATCAAAATGAAGGAGAAAATACTTAGGGCAGTCAGAGAGAAAGGCCAGGTTACCCATAAAGGGAAGCCTATTAGACTTACAGCAGATCTCTCAGCAGAAACCCTACAAGCCAGAAGAGAGTGGGGGCCAATATTCAACATCCTTAAGGAACAGAACTTTCAGCCTAGAATCTCATATCCTGCCAAACTAAGCTTCACAATTGAAGGAAAAATAAAATCTTTTATGAACAAGCAAGTACTCAGAGATTTTATTACCACCAGGCCTGCTTTACAAGAACTTCTGAAAGAAGCATTATACATAGAAAGGAACAACCAGTATTAGCCTTTCTAAAAATATACCAAAAAGTAAAGAGCATCAACATAAAGAAGAATTTACATCAACGAATGGATAAAATAGCCAGTTAACATCAAATGGCAGTAACCCTAAATTTAAATCGACTAAATCCCCCAATCAAAAGATACAGCCAAAACCTAACAGAATATCCGAATATACACAAAGACTCAAAACAAAGGGTTGGAGAAAAATTTACCAACTAAATGGAGAGCAAAAATAAATAAATAAACAAAAAGCAGAAGTTGCAATTCTCATATTTGATAAAATAGATCAAAGCAACAAAGATACAGTGGTAAAAGGATCAATGCAACAATAAGAGATCTTAATACCCAGATCATAAGACCCATAATGAGATTTAGACTCAACGAGACAGAAAATTAATAAGGATATCCAGGACTTCAGCTCTGATCCTGAACAGGTAAACTCAATAAATATTTATAGAGTTCTCCATTTTAAGTACACAAAATATTGATCAGCCATTATCAATACCCATTTTTAGAATGAAGCAATATTCCTGTTCTCTCTCCCTCTTTCTTCCGCTCCTTCTCTCCTTTTTTTACTTTTCAACATCCTAGTTCCTCACCTAAAAAAAAAAAAAAAAGAAAATGAAAGCTGCAATAGAGAGTGTCAACAGCAAAACTGATAAAACAGAAAAAAGAATCTGTGAACCTAAGACAGGTTGTTTGAAAATTTATAGTCAGAGGAGAAAAAAAAGGATAAAAAGAAATGAAGAAAGCTTGTGTAATTTATAAGACAGCACCAAAAAATAAAGATTCTTTTAGCAATTAAAGAAGAAGACAGAGACAAAAAGGTAGAAAACTTATTTAAAGAAATAAGAGCAGGAAACTTCAAATCTGGGAAAAGATAACTATCCAGGTACCAGAAGGTCAACATTCTCCAGTCAGAGATTCAATATGAGCAAGACACCCCAAGACATATTATAATCTGGCCACAAAAAATCAAAGAGAAACAGAAGATCCTGAAAGCAACAGGAGAAAAGAAGCCATTAATAGGTAGAACTTTTAATAATGCTAGCAGTGGATCT